TTTCCATTTCCATGTTGTAAACAATCGGTCTAAGTGGAATTCGTTTTCCTCGCATGTGACATTTTTTATGGAATTTATTGCAATCATATATGACCTAATTCTAATTATGTTTTCTTTTCGGTCCAAGTTAATATTCTCGCTCATGCAGCAGATATTCCAATCTCCTAAGAACAAATTATTAAGATTGAAAGTTTGATGCAAAAGTACAATATTCTAGATCCTCATGGGAAGTCAACATGCAATTGTAGTGATCAGAAAGGGAAGTCACCGATGCAGAGTGGAGATAATGGTTAATTAGGCTAGCTGGCCTTTTTTAAAGATAGGATTCTCATACAAAATGGTATCTACTCCATTGATTCAGTAAAGGGCCATGCACTAAGTGTTGAAGATGAAAATATGTCTCTTGACAGTGAATCCGATTACGAGGAATCAATAATTTCTACGGAACTATTGAGAAATCTGAGGACATTGATGAGTATTTTTCTTGCCGAAGATATAGAAAGCTCTTATTCTAGTGAAGATAAGTGAGGAAATAATTCTTGTAGTGCCCAGTGGGACGTTTTCCATCTGCAATAAGTTGTTCATCCAGTATTTTATTTGAGATTTATCATTTCCTTTATGCTTCCCAGCAATTGAGTTTTGTAGATACATTTTTTTTGTTTTTGTATTCGGATTAATTAGAATATTTTAGTAAAAGTATGTTTTAATTAGTGTTTTGTCACGATTTTGAATTTTTATCACTTTTTTAATCTCTGTCACCTTTTTATTTTATAATGCTTGTCACCTTTTTTTAATCTTTGTCCATTTTTTAATGTTTGTTACTTCTTTTTGAATTTGTGTCACTTTTTTTTTTCTTTTTAATGTTTATCACTTTTTTCCTGTCACTCTTTTGAGTAAGAAACACCACTTTTTAATAAAAGTTGTATTTCTCATTTTAATGAAAAGTAACATGTCACTTTTTTTTTAGAAGTGACACAATACACTTAATTTTATGAAGTATTTTTTACTTTCAAAACACTTTTGAAGGACTGATGGAAGAGAAGGATTTTTAAGTGGAAATTTTCTCTAGCCATAGCTTGTTGGTTGCTTTGATAAGACTGGTGCGAGATAAGAGACATCCTATTGAACACTTATCCAGGCTTGGCCTTCTCAACTCAATTTGCTTACACGATAAAGTTAGGAGTTAGATTGTGAGCATTGGTGCTATTCCTCAACTGATGGAACTGTTATCTGGCTTGAGTCCAGATAGCTTGGAATTAGCTCTTTTCATTTTGGATGTCCCGTCGTCTGTCCCTGATGGTAGACAAGCTTTGAAGGATTGTTCGTACACAGTACAGAAGAATGTCAAACTACTTATGAGAGTTTCTGAAAGCTGTACANAGGATTGTTCGTACACTGTACCGATCATGGTCAAACTACTTATGAGAGTTTCTGAAAGCTGTACAGAATATGCACTTTCGATCTTGTGGTCTGTGAGCAAACTATCCCCCCATGAATGCTCATCATAGATGTGGATGCTGGTCTTGCAGCAAAGCATCTTCTTGTCATCCAGAGTGGTTGCAGTGCATTATTGAAGCAACGTGCTGCTGAGCTTTTGAAGCTCTGCAGTCTGAATTATTCAGACACTATCTTCATTTCTAAGTGTAAACTGACCAGAACAATCCAACGAAGACAGAGCCTCGGTTGTTCCTTTACCCACATCAGCTCCTTTGTTAATGGGTCAAAAGGAGGCAAAAGGCTTCCAGAGTTGAAGGGTTCAAACTACAATCTCAGGTTATTCGACAAGGAATATGCAAAATGTGCAGCTGTCTGTTAGCAAATCGATATACATGGAGAGACATAATTTATGTAAATGTAAGAGCACCCTGCTTTGTGGAACAGTTGGCCCGGGCATAACTTTCTTAATAAGCACCGGAAAGAGAGAACGGTTGCGAAACCGAGCTCTAAAAAAGGTTTCATTTGTTAAGAGAAAGAAAAGCCTGGAAAGGTGCAAGTCACTTGTAGCCAGACTGTACTTGTGTAAAGCATGACATTGAATCGAGCTTGCAATTTCTGTTGTAATCGTTCAGCAGCAGCTTCAGGAATCTCATGCGAATCTCTAGTCCTACGGATTCGAGGTCCTTGATATTTCGTTTCGACTATAAGTTCTGTTTTGACCTTGTAGCGTGTAGAAAAATGTTGCCATTTGGCCGTTTAACGTCCATTCAATATGCACAATTAATTTCCAATTTCTGTTCATTATGATAATATTGCACAGTTCCAAATTTTTGTGTTATCTGCTCCCCAATATTTTCTGACGATTTCTAATATTTATTTCGATCAGATGCTTCAATTAAAATGCTGCAATTCAGCAAGCTGTGTATAACTGCAGGGGCCATTTATTGAATTCTGTTAGAGTGCAATGTAATGTAACAGAAAATAATTAACGTTGTGCAATGAAGATGATATTAATTAGTCACTTGAATCTTCATAACTGAAACATGAGAATTATTATATAAAGAGGGTCCTATGCTTCCTCAATCACGAACAAACAAGAAAAGCAAAAAGCGCAGGAAAAAATAAGAGAAAGATGGCTTTTTTCTTCAACAACTTCACGTGTACGGTGATTTCCATGGTCCACTTTTTCTTTCCTGCAAACGTGATTCCATCTTCAATGTGCTACTTACCGGGGGAAGTGAATCTTCAGAACATTTGCTCCAAAACCTATAATGCTGTTGAGTGTTTGAATCAGTTTAAATCAGATCCCAGAAGCTTGAACA